CCTGATTTGAAATAGCATTTTGCAGCCTGCTGTTTAGTTTCGATGAAAGAAAGGGTGCTGCTAAGAAACAGAAGATTCTTGGGAATTGGAAGGACATGATCTGCGATTTGGGTGGCATGGATATTTCGGTACAATAAAGTTCAACTTAATGTGGATTTTTAAAAAATCATCATGCTAGATGTGCCATATTGTGAATATGGAATAGATTCAAATCCACATTGTGCCTGAAAACCTTTTTTTTTTAAGATGGAGAAAGATGGTAGAAAGACGAATTAAAATGATAGCCATCTTCAAGAGAGAGAGAGAGAGAGAGAGAGAGACAGAGACAGAGACAGAGACAGAGAGAGACAGAGACAGAGAGAGACAGAGAGACAGAGAGACAGACAGAGACAGAACAGGAAGTCTTTGATTTGTTCAGTGACTGAAGTTACAACAGAACTGAAGAAAGTAGGAACATATTGTTCCTATGTTCTTTTTAAGTCATGTGTTTGTTTCTGTTGATGTGCTTATGTGTTTAAAATAAAAATTTATTACAGCCCCCCCCCAAAAGTGACTTACGACCATTTTTCACACTTACAACCATCACAGCATCCCCGTGGTCACATGAGCAAAATTCAGATGCTTGGCCACTGGTTCACATTTATGACCGTTGCAGTCTTCCCCAGAGGGGTGTGTGTCACCTTTTGAGACCTTCTGACAAGCACAGTCAAAGTGGAAGCCAAATTCACTTAACAACTCTGGTTACTAGCTTAACAACGGCGCTGATTCACTTAACAACTGTGGCAAGAAAGGTTGTAAAATGGGCCGAAACTGTCTCACTTTGCAACAGAAAATTTGGCCCCCATTGTGGACGTAAGTTCAAGGACTACTAGCAGTTACGAGGGGTGGAGATGACCAACTAGAATGCTCTCTGAATCTCTCCCCTCCTTCATTCTCCATCTCCACCGACTTCCAAATTTTCTATTATCCCATGGCTTGAGTTAGATTTGCTCATCATGTTGGAGAGCGAAAAACGAAATGAAAAATAAACATATTTACAGGCATGATGAGAAAGTTCTGGTTTACCGATTGCAATTTTCAGATGACATGCAGGAAGGAAGAGGAGAGCTGCAGAGCCACCCTATCTATCATTAGTCTGCAAAAATAAGTGTGCAGTGGAGATTTACTTCCAGGTAAGAAGGCCTAAAATTGCCCTGTTTTCGGTTAGGGCACATTTGATGCCAACAAACAAACAAACAATCCCTGAAACAAGCACAGGTTTGTCTTCCCTGCTTACAAGGAGAAGGGGGTAGAGATGCCCACATCTATTTCCTTTAAAAGCTGCCGAAATTGAACACTCTCTGCAGCATTATTGATAATAACAGCAGGTTGCATAATCACCAGGGCTGCTTTTCAACCTCGCATGTTACATATGTTTCATCTGCAATCCGTTACTTAAAAACATGCGCCGAGGGAAGAAATATCTGGCAAAAAGGTTCACAAAGACATTGTGGGTGTGTAGAGGGAAATCATCTTTCTGGGACAGGGGCGTCAAACTCAAGGCCCCGGGGGCCGGAACCTGTAATGCCAAAATTCTCAGCTAGGGTGACAGCTGATCCTGCAAAACAGGATCCTCGCGTAGTGCTTCGAAGAGTTTTAATGAGTCTAAAATGAAAATAGCCATTTACCCAAGAAAGAACCGCAAATCTTCTTGTCTACCGATGGGAAACCCCAAACTCAATATCTGGTTTCTCCAGTTTGAACAAAAGAATAGGAGCTAGAGTGAGTTTAGCTCAGCATAAACAGCCATCGAGGGAAACGGTGGCTCCGTGGCTAAGACGCTGAGCTGATCAATCAGAAGGTCAGCAATTCAGCAATTTGAATCCCTAGTGCCGCCTAACGGAGTGAGCTCCCATTACTTGTCCCAGCTTCTGCCAATCTAGCAGTTCGAAAGCATGTAATAATGCAAGTAGAAAAATAGGGACCACCTTTGGTGGGAAGGTAACAGTGTTCTGTGCATCTTCAGCATTGAGTCATGCCAGCCACATGACCACAGAGACATCTTCGGACAGCGCTGGCTCTTCGGCTTTGAAACAGAGATGAGCATCATCCCTAGAGCTGGAAAGGATTAGCACACATGTGTGGAGGAAACTTTACCTTTACTTTTAAACAGCCACCAGATTTGCTTGATTTCACTCAATTGCACCAATTCTAAGAAAACGCCTTCCCTTCCTTGCCTCGACCAGCTGATGTCACTGCCTCCGTTTGCTTTCTCACCCCCACCCCCACCTGATTGTCCCAGTCTGAAAGAAGCACCTTGCTGTGACACTTGGCCTTGTGCATCTGTTGTGCCATGTCATAAGCACATGGGCCTAGAAGGGAGGCACAATTTGATGGATCAACAGGATTGGCCAACACCCTAGAAGATAGGCTCAAAAACCAGATGGATCTCGACAGACTTGAACACTGGGCCTTGTCTAACAAAATGAAATCCAATGTAGAGAAAAGTAAAGTCTTACACTTAGGCAAGAAAAACCAAAAATATACCTATAGAGTCAATGAAACCAGGCTTAATATCAGTAACTGTGAGAGGGATGTTGGAGTGTACAACCAGCTAAATATGAGACAGCAGTGTGCAGTGGCAGCCAAAAAAGCCAATGCAATCCTAAGTTGTATTAACAGAGGGATACAATCAAGATCAAGGGAGGTACTAATGGTTCCACCACAAATGCGCGAACGACAAAAACGCTCCTGACTAAACCGCGGTGACAAAACCGCGCCGACGAATGAGCGCTGAAGCGCGCCGACAACAGCGCGCCGACAGAAGTGCGCTGTAACCCTAACCCTAAACCTAACCCTAAACCTTACCTTAACTTAAATCATGCTTCTGTCGGCGCGCTGTTGTCGGCACGCTTTTGACATTGCGGTTTTAACGCCGCGGTTTTGTCGGCACGCTTTTGTCATTCGCGCATTTGTCGGGTCAAGGGTATTAATACCACTTTATAAAGCCTTAATAAGATCATACCTTAGAATCCTGCATCCAGTTTTGGTCACCACACTATAAAAAAGATGTTGAGACTCTAGAAAGAGTGCAGAGAAGAGCAACTAAGATGATTAGGGGACTGGAGGCTAAAACATATGAAAAACGGTTGCATGAACCGGACATGACTCATCTAGTAATGAGAAGGACCAGGGGAGACATGATAGCAGTCTTCCAATATTTGAAGGGCTGCCACAGAGAGGAGGGGGTCAAGCTATTTTCCAAAGCACCTGAAGTCCAGACAAATAATGGATGGAAACTGATGGAGAGATTCAACCTGGAAATAAGGAGAAATTTTCTGACAGTGAGAACAATCAACCAAAGGAACAGAAGTTGCCTTCGGAAGTTGTGGGAGCTTCATCACTGGAAGTTTTCAAGAAGAGTCTGGGCTGCCATCTGTCCAAAATGGTATAGGGTCTGCTTTTATGTGGGGTGGGGTGGGGTGGGGTGGGGCTAGATGACCTACAAGGTCCCTTCCATCTCTGCTAATCTGTATCTAACAGCGAGCGGCTGTTATTTTCAGGAAGAGGCGAGAACTTCTTCTTCAGACATTGGGAAATGTCTGGGGTGGGGGGGTGTTTGCTCTGGGAGGTTTCACAGTGAGTGTGGTTCATAGAAACTTGGGGCAAATAAACGCATCATCATGAGACTTCTGCTGCCCAAGGAGGAAGTGGTGTGTAGAAGCATTTCTGCTATCCTTCTCTTCCCTGTTACCCAATACCGCAGTGCATTGAGTACTTCAGGGAAGTTTAACCCTGTATACCAGGGTTTCCCAACCTTGGTGCTTTGGGCTGGGGAATTCTGGGAGTTGAAGTTCCACGGGTCTTGAAATGGTTCTTGTTTGGAAAACTCTTAGCTATAGATGCGTGAGCCTCGACTTTTAACAGAAACCATCTTCAGTTTGCCGTTTCTGCCACAAGGCTTGAAATTTTGGCCTTTGAACAACCTAGAACTACACCGCCTATGCTTGGACTTAACGATAGTACACAAAATTATCTGCTACAATGTCCTACCTGTCAATGACTACTTCAGCTTCAACCGCAATAATACACAGGCACACAATAATGCAAACTTCTCCAAACTCGATTGCAGACAATAAGACTTCAGCAACAGAGTGGCCAATGCCTGGAATGCTCTACCTGACTCCATTGTTACTTCCTCTAACCCCCATAGCTTTAACCTTAAACTGTCCACTGTGGACCTCACCCCATTCCTAAGAGGCCTGTAAAGGGGGCTTGCATAAGCTCACCAGTGTGCCTAAAGTTCCTGTCCGACTGTCCCATTTATTCGTACCCATTTCCTGTGCTCTTATTTCTGTTTATTCTTATTCCTGTTATCTTGTACATGAATGACAAACTAAATAAATGAAATGAAACAAAATAAGTCACAGACCGGATCTAGTCTCCTGATGTTCAATAGGCATCATTGGTATGATTTCTTTATTTATTAAATTTGCTCCCCCCATTTTGCAGCTCAAAGTGCCTCTTACATATTTTTCCTTTAAGACTGGATTCATTCTTACCTATTATCCTTTAAGGTTGGATTCAATTTTTAAAAGGGGCTTCGGAGGGCACAGAAATGGGAACGTAGCTCTTTAAAGCAGCTGCTTCTCTTCCCGGGAACACCTGGGCTCTTTTAAAGAGGGTAGGAGGCCACTGACTCTCAAATGGGCCAAATCATGTGAAACCATTAGATTGCAATCCTTTGATAAGAGAACGTCACTGTAGCCTGGAAAGAGGGGGAGTATTTCAAAACCAGAAACAAAAGGCAGATGGGTATCTGAGTGCCAAGCTACTCTGGTGGGGGAAAGCATTTAACCTTTCAATTTTGCATTGTTGGGGGTGGGAGGGGTCTAAAGAACCCACAAAGACCCCATTCAGAGGTGGTATTCAGCCGGTTCGGAGCAGTTCACCAGAACCGGTAGCGGAAATCGTGGGTGTGCCTACTCACACACACACACACCCTCGACTCTATGCTGTCTTCTTTAGGCACATTTTTGAGGCCGGGCATATGTGCAGAAGGCACACCTGTGAGCAAAGCACATGCATGGAAAGCTGGGCACATATGTGGAAGAGGCACATATGTGAAGCGGGGGCGTGCATGCATGGCAAACCGGTGATAACAAGATGTGAAACCCACCACTGACCACCCCCCACATTCATAAATACGGAATAGTTTTGTGCATTTGGTTTCCAAAAGTCTATATCGCAGCCCTTCTTGATATTAACGTTGATTGATGGAATTCTAAGGGAGTTTTGCTTCCCTCGGCCTGCTGTGCTGTTCGGGGCTTAACAGCTGGATAGGCAGCTCCTATCTCCAAAGAGGATACAGAAACAGAGTCAAGGCGCAATGTAAACAGGAACTGGCAAACTTCTGAGGACTGCTAATCAGAAGAGAGGAATTCCCTTAAAAACCTTCATGCTTCTTTTCCCTGAGAATTGGAAGGACAGATTTCAGCATAATCCGTTTGGATGTCTTCTGCAGCTACATCTGGATTAGGATTTGGCACATTGAATCTAAGAGTCGCGTAATGGATTTCTTCAGGGTCTCCATCCACAGATTCGTGGGGGCTTCTTGATTTGGAGGCAACGCCGTTCACTTCCTGAGCAGCGAGGTCCAAAGTGCTGGGTTTCTGTTTGAAGAGAGGAGTTGAGTGAAAGGAGAATCTGCCACCATTAACACACAATTTAAAATTTGGGCTAATTCTACAGCCTACCACAAACCAGGCTGCAGTTGCTGTACTACTATTGTTATTTTAAGAATAAGCAGAAGCAAAATAAGAAGAATCAGCAGAAACAGACAACCCTCAGGAAACCAGTTTTGCAAAGTGCAAAAAAATAAAAAATAAATAAAGATTGCTTAAGCTTGTTTTGGAGATAAGATTTCATATTAAAAATAAATCGGTTTAAACTTGGATGGACTAAACGTTTCATTTCCCTCCTCCCAAAATTCAATTTTTGGGATTTATGATCCAGAACTTTAAAAAATAAAATACCCTGCATATTGAGATTATAGCTGAGGCACCTAAATGTAATCATACTTCTTCATAAATAGTTGTGATAGACTTCAAAAATAGTTCTCCAGATGTTTCTAAGCTACAGCTTTCAGCCACTCTTACTTGCAGGGCTAATGGCTGGAGGGGATGGAGGAATGTTGGAGAGATCCTTTAACAGTGTCTTAATCTTTTTAGAAAATAATAATACAGGAATAAGGGGAATCTATCACTATATTGGAGTCTACCACGATAGTTCATACTGTAGTGTTTCTCAGCCCAACTTTAAGATGTGTGGACTTCAACTCCCAGAATTCCCCGAGCCAGCTTGCTTGGGGAAACACAGTAGGCATAAGCATTCTCCAAAGCATCTATACATTTGGAGGGAACAGTATAGCTTTGACTATACATCAGTGGTGGGATCCTACCGGTTTAACAACCAGTTCGGTGATTGAGCGCTTTGCCCCTGATCCGCAACTGGACTCTCTTTGTTTTTGCTTGAACAAGTCTTGCTTCTCTCCCAAGGAGCTTCTTCAGTTTGGCGTGAACGTGGGAGAATTGCTGAAAGGGCTGTGTTGAAAGCAGAGATAGGTGGTGTCATAACCCTCCCCTTACAAACATCACCATCTCCTGTTTACAACACAATCCTTTCAGCAAATTCCGAAAAGGATCCACACCCATTTGCACTGTTCAGGTGACTCTAAAGGGCCCAGATAAACTTCCAAGTTGCCTCAATGACTCTCAGAAGGAGTGCTGGGTGAAGCAAAAAGTTGAGATTGGAGTGTTTTTACCTTGTACTGTGCTAATAAGAGTCGGAAGTCAGTGCCCTCCCTCTCTCTCTCCCTCTCCCTCTCCCTAACAATAGCAGTTAGACTTATATACCGCTTCATAGGGCTTTCAGCCCTCTCTAAGCGGTTTACAGAGTCAGCATATTGCCCCCAAAAATCCAGGTCCTCATTTTACCCACCTCGGAAGGATGGAGGGCTGAGTCAACCCTGAGCCGGTGAGATTTGAACAGCCGAACTGCTGAACTGCAGTCAGCTGAAGTAGCCTGCAGTGCTGCACTCTAACCACTGCGCCACCTCGGCTCTCTTCGGCTCCCCCTCCCTCCCTCCCTCTCTCTCTCTCCTCTATCCCACACCCTTTCCCATGCTCCCTTTCCTCTTCAGAATTTCCTCTTTTTTTCTTCTCTTCTTTGCATGTTATATAATTAAACAAAACCTTAATAAAAAGGTAATGTTAAAAAAGAAAGAAAGAAAGAGTGCTAAGGACCAGAGGACTGCAAGGAGTATAGATCCTTCCATTCCCCACCCCTTCAACCAGAACTGAAGAAGCTTCTTGGATGGAAGAGGAAATATCTTCGAGGATAAACAAAGGAAGTCCAGTTGCCTCTTGAAAAAGTACCTTTGGGACAACCAGATGACTGAGAATCTCCATAGAGAATGGGGCCAATAATAAAGACTTTTTCCCTTCTGATGCCCCTTGCAACTCAGGGCTGGTCTCATCGTGCAAAATCAAGTTCATCTCAACCAAAAAGGTGAATTTTGAGATGGGTCAGGTCCAGAGGTGGGTTCCTACCGGTTCGCACCGGTTTGCTAGAACCGGTTCATCAAATCTACCTAACCGGTTAGAAGAGGTTCCACCAGTGGACCCGGAAAGCAGGCCACCCTTACAGAAGAAGTTCCAAAAAAATTTGAAACCACCACTGGTCAGGTCCAAACGGAAGCCAAAAACCAAAGGCGATATGTTAACTCTGTGAGAACGCAATGTCCCCAACTTGTGGGAGAAATGACACACATCTCAAGACTTCCTAATAGACGGTCAGAAAGAGGTGAGACTGTCGCTTTGGCTAAAGGGAAGTGCAGCTGAAGTCCACAGCTTGCTATGTGGTCTAGTGCATGGGTCTCCAACCTTGGCAACTTTAAGCCTGCTAGACTTCAACTCCCAGAATTCCCCAGCCAGCATTCTGGGAGTCGAAGTCCACCAGGCTTAAAGTTGCCAAGATTGGAGACCACTGGTCTAGTGGACCTCAAAGCTGAATCTACCATTTTTTGGACAACTCCCGCCAAGTAATTGAGTTGCAGAGATGAGTGAAAGAAAAGAAACAGTGGGCTATTTAGTCCCACCTGTCACCCATTGGACATGCTCTGTTTTGGTTGCACGATACCAAAATGTCCCTGTTTCTAATTGCAGTAGAAAAAGGAGACATTACAAACCTTGACATTCGTTAAGGTATTTACTGCTTTTGAGTCTGTAATCGTTTTTCTCTTCCTCTGGTATCTGCAAAAACAAACAAATAATAAATAATCACATCTTTTACATGCTGAATGCCTGGGCTCGGTTAAAGTTCCTTATTATGAGAAATAAACATTGGCAAATATCCTTTTCCTCCACGTATAGTTATCACTAGCAAGAATGTTGATTCACAGGACTGGAATTATGAAAGAGGATGTGCACGAAGGAAGCTCAACCATTACCCAAAGAGGGGAAGTGCTTGCTTTCCCAGAGAATCAGGATTTCTCCAGTAGATAACTATAGTCCTATCCTAATTCTAGAAACGAGACACAATATTCTCATTGTCATATATGAAAACATAACAATAACAGAATAACAGAGGTGGAAGGGAGCTTGGAAGTCTTCTAATCCAACCCCCTGCTCAAGCAGGAAACCCTATACCATTTCAGACAAATTGCTGTCCAATCTCTTCTTGAAAATCTCCAGTGTTGGAGAACCCACAACTTCTGGGGGCAAATTGTTCCACTGATTAATTGTTCTAATTGTTGGGAAATTTCTCCTTGGTTCCAGGTTGCTTTTCTCCTTGATTAGCTTCCATCCATTGCTTCTTGTCCTGCCTTCTGGTGCTTTGGAGAATAGGCTGATTTCATATTCTTTGTGGCAGCCCCTGAGATATTGGAATACTGCTATCAAACCACCCCTGATCCTCCTTTTCATTAAACTTTTGTTGTGATTGTTAGTCACGAAGTTGTGTCCAATGCATCGCAACCACATGGACAACGTTCCACCAGGCCTTCCTGTCCTCTACCATCCCTCCATTTAAGCTGACACCTACTGCTTTGGTGACTCCATCCAACCACCTTGCTGAAGGAATGCATGCCATTGAGGACTTTATTGTTGCTTGTTGTTCATTGCAAAGTCATGTCCGATCATCGCAACTCCATGGACAACGTTCCTCCAGGCCTTCCTGTCCTCTACCATCCTCTGCAGTCCATTTAAGCTCATGCCGACTGCTTCAGAGACTCCTTCCAGCCACCTCATTCTCTGTCGTCC